TCCCTACACACCCCTGCTCCCAGTTTTACTAAGAGATGACCCATCTAACCATACCATGTAGTAGAGGAATTGAATCAGTCAGTAGAATCTCATGCCAAAAGAGGCACACATTGTTAAATGCATGAAATATTTCATGCATGAAATACTGAGTTAATTACTACATTAAATTAAACCATTCAGATGAAATTCACCCTTCAAGAGCTGAACTTAATTTCATTAAAGCAAAAGCAGTATCTGCCTGTCTTCATAAGCAAAGCCAGAAACCACTACTTGCTGGAAAAACGGAAGCTCCTTGAACCCCATACCCAAAATTTCACCAGTACCCTGGGACCTAAGCCACAGCCTTCACCTGGGGCCTCTGAATCTCGCTGACCTTCCAGGCTTCAACCCTTCTGCACAGACCCTTAACGCTGCTGGGAGCAGCCCCTGTCTAGGAAGCTCAGACATGCAGGTTAGCCTGACCGACCTTTCTGTACGTGCAGTTCCCAAAACAGAACGTGAGCAATCATGGTGCTGCCGCATGAAGTCACCACTCCGTACAGTTCGTTACGCATCACTGTACGCGAGATAGCTGAGGGCCGGGGACTGCAGTGAGAAGCCTTTCCTTCTGACAGCACCTCAAGAGCTTGGACTGGTTGTACAGGTCACAAGAGGATCACGCAAGGAGTGGTTTGCGCCTAGCAAACCAAGAAACGCATTGCAGAGGGTGAAGCTGGATGGTCTGGAGCACTGGGGGACATGAGATGTAGTAGGAAAGCTGGAGGGTCTGTACCTCCACCAAGGAGGGCAAACAAATTATCAGAGACAAGAGCAAACGGAGGTGAATAGAGGTAGCCTAAAGAGAGTCTTGGCATTTGGGAGTTCAGGGAGCTGTGTCTAGACCTAGAGAGGAGGATCTGTTACCTCCAAGTCTGTGAAAGGACACAAAACACTGAAGCACACAACCCCCTTCCTGGTAGCCCATCTAGCCAGCTAAACAGATGTCCCACAACCAAAGCCTTCCACAAGGGTCAAGAGGAAGAGGACACGCACAGCTGTGCAGATCATGTATCGGGATGGAAAGCCAAGCCTGGGCCTCTCAGCCTGCTGCTGAGTGCAGCCACACCGCAAAAGCACTCAGGCAGCATTACAGAAAAAAATTCAGCAGTCAAGCCGTTCTACCTTCAGTTTCAAAGATTTGGGAAAAGAGGCTGTTTAAGTATCAGCCATTTTAAGGGATTACAGATGCAGCACACAGGACTCCTAAAGAAAGCCTGCCAGTACGGTTAAAATAGCAAACTCCCCTTACACAGCGTACGTGTTCTCTCTGCAGGCGAGGAAAGCCAAGCAGGCTGCATCGGGTCAGCAAAAGCACGCTTATGTGACAGAAGACTCACCACAAGCGTGCCAGCCACGCTGTCATCAAAATCATCTCCTACCAACTTGCTTTGCAAAAGCAACCCAAGTTTTTAGGGCAGTTTCAGCCTGAATAAACATAAACCAGGCTCTGTACCTGCTAAGTAACTAAGCCATGAGAACAAAACCTGCCAGTGACAGGATCAGTGCATAAAGTAGCTACTTCGGCAATTACTCCGAGCCGAGTGATCCTGCAGAGGAAACAGATGTAGATACATTTCAACCTTTCAACCATTTCTGGTGTAAAGCAGTCCCCTTTGGAAAGTACCGAGTGTGACCTGAAATGCCAGAGATTGTTAGGTCCTAGCTCCAAAAGCTGAGTCTATCTCCAGGACCTCTCTTCCTATCTCTAGGAATGAAGAAAAGAGACAGAACACAGCATTCACCTTTGAGTTACAATACTGGAATCAAGAAGCAAACCACCATGAAAAGGCAAATTAGTGCTGTGAGAAAGTCTGAAGCAAGCAAAGATGCTATAATAAAACCCTTCCTTTAAAAATAAGCTATCCACTGGCAGCCTTTACAAATAATTAAGCGCAGATCATCTGCTCATCTCCACACAAACGCTGGTTTCACACAGGACCCCTGACTTGTCCTGATGATTTTTCCTTTCAAAAAACTGTAAAGAGTATCCTGCTTGAGAGCTGCCCCTGCAGAGAGAAGCAAGACCCAGTCTTGATGAAATCTATACTAAGGCCACAAAAACAGCCGTTTAATCCAGGATGAAGCCTGTTGTTTTGAGGAAGGGGGAGGTGTTCTTTTTCTTTTCTTTAATTTCAAGGTCAAAGAAAGACATTTCGTTCCCTAAAACATCAAGCTAACACAAGACTTTTACCTCCTTTGTGAGACGCTCCCCACCCCGCCTTGTCACAAGCCATTACAAGCCACTCTTGATCAGTTTTTTTAAGTTTTTTCATTTAAAGTTATCTTTAATGTCTTGTCTAAATATCAGAAGAAACCATGCAGTCCTGTTAAGAGTTACTCCTGCCGAGCAAAGAGGAGATGCGAGATGAAAATAAACGATTACTATCTCTGCCCCGCAAATTTACAGTGGTGAGCTAGGAAGGACATCAGACCTGCTGTGACCAGCCTGTATCTATTAATTCTAGCACAAAAACAGCTCTCCCTGGTCCTCTCCAGGCAGCACATAATTGGCCCTTTGATACTTCAAGAGATTCCCAGATAACTAGATTATTAAAGCAACAGGAGCTCTCTGGGAAAATATGGGAGTTTACAGTTTCGTTTCTGGGTAAATCTGCCCTCTTTAAAAGATACAATATCAATCCCAACAGAATTCAAATTCATTGTCCAAAACAAATTCCCCATGTGCCTTTGGTTAAAGACATGCAATACATCAAAGCGACTTTTATAATAAGTATTCATCCATACTCCATCGTTCACAGTGGGCCTTGGCAAAAGCAGTCAAGTTTTGGGATATGTTACAGCCAGGCTTTCAAAACAGCCCCCCGCCAAAAAAATGGGAAGAGCAAGGCACAGTAAACAAATCCTGTATTGCCTAGCAAGCAGAATGATGTGAATTTACGTTCTGCACACTATCTGCACCAGGTACAGGTAACAGACAACTGCCTAAGAACAGGCTCTTTACAGCTCACTTTTCACAGTCATGTCCGTAGAAAAAAGGCTGCACAGCTAGGAACAACGTAGGTCTGTCCCAGAAGGGAGGAAGCTGGTGATCTTTTAGCACTTACTGAGCATTTGGAAAAATACTGGAACAGGAATCACTTCTGTTCTTGTGGTCCTCTGCCTTCCCTCCAGCCCCTCACATGCCCACCTCCTGCCAGAACAAGGATTTGCTCAACATCATGAGACGCCTGGATTAAGACAATCAAATTAGAAGTGTTGCAGCAAAGTTGCACAGCGTGGCTGAACGGACTGAACCACACGATGCTAGCAAGAAAAGGTCCTACAGTACCCACCCTCTCATCTCTCTGCTGTGCAGTCCAAGCCAGCTCTGCATCTTTGCTGGAACATTCCACAAGCTCAGTCAACCCCCTCACCCAGGGAGAAGCTATTATGCTCCTTCTGCCTGGGTTAGTTTTCAGTGACTGTGCAAGTTCAGTCAGCCAAACACATACCAGACCACTGCAAAGAAGAGTGGTGGGAGCATCAGAGAAGATCTGGGGATGCAGGGCAGGTGGTAGGATATGCTTTTTTGGGTGACAACAAACGGTTAAGCTGGCACTCCAAACTGCACCCAACTGAAGTTCCCAGCCTGTTCTGCCCACGGCTGCTTAGCCAGCACAAGGGCAGGGATGGGAACAAGCAGCCAGCCCTGAGGCTGCTGGTATTGCAGCCAGAAGAGGTAAACCGTCCAGCCTAGAAGAGACGTGATGGAAGGGAGATAGGACAAAGCTCTGCGTAGCTTGCCAGTAGCTGGGAGAACATAGAGAGGGACTTAATATTCACCGTCTCTTCCTGCACTAGATACAGGTGCCATCAAATGAAGCCAGTGGCTTGAAGGACTCCTTGCTGAAGGATACTGTTGGCACAAAATTTAGAGGGTCTCAATGGGAAACCAGGCAAGTACTTGGAAGTGACTTGCATTTCCCACGAGACTTGCACATTACAAGTAAGTCCCCGAGTCAGAACTCTAACGAAAAATCAGCAAGGCCACATCGTTTGCAAGTGGCTGGCACGTTCACAGGACCACTCCGTGCTTGTTACCTTCAAATCACACTTGAGTAAGACCAAAGCAAAGATGTGACTTAATGGCCACATTAAAAATAATAGTAGTGCATCCTATTACGCTTGATTAATTATTAACACCACATTTCCACAGGCCAGTAAAAAGAAGAGCATACAGGGTCAAATAAATCCCTTCAAAATCCTCTTAGGTGCTTCACTGACATCAGCTCAGAGACACCCATGGATCCACCAACAACTTTTGTCTAGCACCAAGCGGCAGAGAAAGCAGTCGACCATAACACCAAACCTGAACCAACTTTCCCACAAAAAGTAAGAAAGGCCATGTCGTTATCACAGCAGCCATCTAGACACAGACTTTGCAATGCAAGAATTAAGTCTCTGCCCTCAAGAGCTTACAACTGAAGCAGTACTGGCCAAGCAAACTGGAACAGAGAACCCACTAGACAAGCCCAACTGCTCACACGCATCCCTGCAGCAGGAGGTAAGCGTGAGCTCCTGCAAGGTCACTGCCGAGTAACAGATTTTTCCACTCCATGAAAATGGATGAGACTGAGAATCAAGTCCCGGTCTGCTGCATTACACTGTGCAGAACTTAAAGTTGGCAGCAAGAATTATCTCAAGAAGTAT